TTTATATGTTTAAGAAGCTCACACAACTCTGTGAACACCTACAAGTGTTTAGTTACACACAAGCAGGCACGTGTGCACACACGCAAACATGCACACCCAGGAAAATGTCAGCAGTGAACCCTTCCAGGAAGGTTGCCCTGACCCTGCCTTCTCCAGGCCCAGGGGCTCTTGGGCCGTGTCTGCAGCCAGCATCGCACCGGGCAGGGCACATGGCACCCCTCCCGCCCCTCACTACGGTGCCGCGCCCACAGACCACCGCGCGCGGAACTGAATGCCCTCTCCACACGGCAGCAACACGGGACACGGGTGAGTTAACACAGATGCCGACAGCAAGACCAGCCCCAACCCAATCCTCCCGCGTGTGGCGGGAGCGACCACCAGCTGGCCCAGCCCACTGCCAGCCTGGCCCTCAGGGAGGTCGGGGAGGCTGGGACTCCGGCTCCCAGCAAGGCAGCGAAGAGCCAACTTGTGTCTGGAAGTCACCTCCATTTGCAGCCCGTTTCTAACGTTTAGTGTCAGAGACACAGCAGATGCGACACCCATTCCAGTGAGTGTGGGTTTCATTTAGAGTCTGTGTCACACAAGAAACGATAGTAAATGATGATAAAGGAGTTGGTTATTTTTAACGCCTTTTCCTTTCCACCCCTCCCGGCTGCCATTCACACCTACCTGTCCTTGCAAACAGCGTCTGCCAGAGGGTCAGGGAGAGGCAGGCCAAGGGACACCTGCCAGGTGGGGATGGCACTGGGACGCCCCTGCGCCCGTAAAAACAGTAGGCCATAAAAACAGTGCACCCAGAGAGTGGGCTGCGGAAGCCCCTGGGGCCCCTAAACCAAGCCCAGGACCCCTCCACACACAGCCTGAGACTCAGGGAGAAATGAGGAGCCAGCTCTAAGCTCAGAGCCTGGGGGTGGGGGCAGCCCCACGCCAAGACTGGGTGCAGGTGTACGGGCACAACCGGCCATGAGACAGAGCAGCTGAACTCCACCCCTTCCCCACACACCCCCTTAGACACTCAGAACGGAGCCTGGCGCAGCCTCGCGCCCTAACGGAGAACAGCCTTGCCGCTCTGGAAAATCTCAAGGACATCAACCCAGCCCTCACCCAACCCACGATGGGCCACCCCCGATGCCTCGGGGACACACACCTGTGCTCATGAAGCTGGGATGGCTGTCCGTATTCAACAAATACTTCTGATGGAGTCTTAGGGCCAGGAACTGAGCTGTGTCTCCTAAGAAGTTCTCTATCCATTTCTTAAAAAATAAATGGATCCATCTACAGAGAGATGAACACTGCATCGCCCGCTCATCTTGTAAAGATGGCACCGACCGATGGCTGTGCAGAGCCTCAACAATTACCGCCACACCGTCCACTGCCTTGACGGCGTTGAGGACACAGCTTGCTACGGGCCCCCTGGGTCTGCAGGATGATGCCTCATTTCCAAAAGAGCCGGCTCACTCAGTAAATGAGAGTTGAATCCTGTTGACTCAGTCAACGGCCTGCCCTCCAACAGCCGCGGAAAGACGGGCACACCACAGAGGTTCGGAAAGTACCTCTGGAATCCAGGCCCGGGTACAAGGTCCCGGGGCAGCCCGACACAAAGTTCTCAGGACTCACCTGCAAAAGAGGCTTTTTAACAGCACGTTCAGGCCATCGAATGCACTCCCCTGCCATCAAAAGGACTGGCAGAGAGAGTTGAACCTCAAGGAAAGAGGCACTGGGTTCTCCCTCCCACGCAGAAAGCATCGGGCAGAACGATCTCCCGGCTTTCTCCTGCCCCTTTGGGTCCCAAAGCCCGGAAACCTGCCTGCCGCTGTGGCCGGCCCTGGGCCCCGCCGCGCTCCCGGCTCTTTCAAGTATTTTCCTATTCTTCTGGTTACACGAGGCAGCCACACCAAAGCCTGCTAATCTGTGCTGCGTCCAAGTGACTCAAGACTTCCAGAAAAATATTGCAAAGTCTTTGGAAGAGGGAGGTGGGAAATATCTTTATACTTCTAGCTGTTTCCTTAACTCCGCATTTGGAGGCCAAACACGAAGGAGACAGAGCTCTGGCTTCCCGCTCCCGTCTCTGTCACACACGTCCCCTGCTCCCTAAGGACACGGCTGGCTCTTCCATCAAGGTCCTGGGACTCCCGCCCTCACCCCGACTCTAACTGCACCGTGCACACAGCATGTGCACGCACCAGAAGAAAGGACGACTCTCCCCTCCCAGAGGAGGGTCAGCGTGTCCTAAGGATGACAGGGCAAGAAGACAGGCTGCCCAGGCCCCAGGGCCGGACCCCACACTGTGGCCCTGTTTTCCTCCCCGGCCGGTGGCTGCCCAGCCAGGCCTGGTGCGGCGGGCACGACCGGTTCCCACAAAGCTCGGACGCACCAAGGCTGCCATTACGGACCACAATTTGCCTCTCTCTCGGATCACCGCCCTATTCATCTCCGCAAACCCTGGAAGACAGAGTGGCCAGAGGAGGACGGATTAGCCACGGGGTGGCCTCTATCTCCACACAAAAGGAGAAGTATAGAAAAACGGCTCCCTGGGACCCCCATTCTTCACCCCTGAAAAAAACAGATTCATGGAAATGGCTAAACAGCTCTTTCCCACTTGGCCCCAGACAACAAGTCACAATTGTCCACCCGCCTGCGGCGCTCCTGCCCTCCTGCTGGACAATGCGTCGAGCCCATCAGCCAGGAACCAGAGTGGGCCAGCCCCTCCCTGCACCCTCCCTGCGGCTCCCCCAAGGCCTCCCCTGGGGCTCCTGACGCCAAGGGGCCAAAAGGGCATCTCAGCAAGGACCAGGGGGCCACTCAAGTCCTAACCTCCAGGCAGACAGGCGGCAGGGGCTCCAACCCAGGTGAAGACCACCGCTGTGGGATGGGGAGACGGGACTTCAGGAGTCCCAGGGGGCTGTGCAAACACCAGACCCTGAAACGACTCTTTCAAAGGTACCTGTGCCCTCAGTGCACAGCTGACCCCATCCTATCCCACCTTCCTAGGACTATGCATCTTCCACGCACTGACACACGTGTGTCTGCTTCAACATAAACGTGGACGTGTCTGTGAATGGCTAAATCTACAGAAAACACTCCACTCAGCAAACACAAGCAGTATTTAATCCTGGGCCTGATGCTAGACCTTCCCAGCTGAGAGTCAGAAACTCTGTCTTCCTGGCCAATAAAGAGTCCTTTAGACCTAGAGCCTCCGGGGGACAGCAGAGTCCCGCCAGACACCTGCACTGGTCAGCGCCACAGGGAGACGCAGAAAGGAACCCGCACTACAGGCTGGCCACATGGTAAGGGGCTTCCCCTTTAACTAACTCACAGCTTAAAAGTCAGTGGAGCGTCGCTTCGTCACAGAGTATCAGGACACAGCTGGGCACTCGGACCTCAGAGAAACACTGAAATGCTCACACGAACGCCCTTCCAACAAGCCAGTCCCCTCAAAGAATTCGAGATCAGTCGAAGAGGTAGAGAACCTGGGGCGCAAACACACACAGGCCCGGCGGAACAGGGACCCCTTCGCCAGGTGCCTGGAATGCACCAGGGGTGGCTCCCACAGTCCTGGCAGAGGACACCAGCGGAGGGCAGCCCTCGCCAGCCTTCCTGGAGTGAATGACTCCTCGGCAGGAAGAAGGATGGCCTCCCCAGCCCAAAGGACCACTGCCCAGGGCCGAACCACCCACTCCAGAAGTCGGTCAGTAAGGCAGCAGGAAGAAGCTGGGCCTCCCACCCCAGGAAGGGTCCCCACAAGCCCGGGCTGCCACGTCAAGCCTGCAGCAGAGTCCTGGGGCAGCCTCCTCTCCCTTCAGACCTGGCCCTCCTTTTCCTGGGTGCCCACATCCAAAACCAGAGGAGGCAAGTGGACACCAGGCCCTCAGAGGTCACAGGGCCTGGGTCCAGGCTCCCGCACCTACCTGCTTTCCCAGGCCTCCAGCGGCTCCTTAATTAGTCAGGGAAGCAGCTGAATTTGCAAGCCCTTCCTTCGCAGGAGCCCAAAGCTAATGAGAACCCAGGCAGTTACCAGCCACACAGGCTCCCTCCAGAGCTCAGCCTTCCCAGCCGACCTACGGGAGCAGCGGGCAGAGCTGGCCCAGCCTGTGTGTCAGAGCACCAGTAACCAGGAGCAGGGGTGCCCGGGGAGCCCAATGCCTCGGTTGCCCCCAGTCTGCTATGACAGGCCAGGCTGATCCCGGGATGCAGCGGGACCTCTGCACGGGGAGCCTGGCCCTGAAGCCAGGAAGTTTCCATGAGTGCGCCTGGGGTGCCTGGAGCCTACGGTGCATCAGGGAGGTGTGGCCCTATCCCGACCCTCAGAGAGATGCTTCCCGGTCCACCGGGCCTCTGCAGCCAGGAGGGTCCAACAGCTATCCTGGGCGCCTCAACAGTCCCAGACCGCCCTGTAGTCTAGCAGGGACTAGGACGGCAGGGGCAGAACTTGGTGCCGGGGCCTCCGCACCCAGGTGGCAAAGCCCCTCCTCCCCGAGCCTGTGGGTCCCTGAGTCGGCCCTGAAGGCGGCATGGGCCCAGGGGAACGAGTGCGCAGGCCTGTTTCCCGATGCCCGCGGGCCCCAGCCCCGCGCCCACACCGGCGGGTCTCAGCTCCGCTCCCGCCCCGGCCCGGCCCGCCCGCCAACGTGGAGCGCTGGTGCCATCTACCGAGGGCCACGGCGTCCGGGCGGGCGCCGCTGCCACCGAGCCGTGCGGGGCAGGGGGTGGGAACGGCGGCCACGGCTCGGGCCGGGCACCCGGGGCTGCGCGAGAGGAACCGAGGTTGCAGCGCGCCCCGAACCCGCGCCCTGCCGGGGATCCCCGAAAGGCGCGGGGCGGCGAGACGCGCGGGGGGCCGGGCTCCGGGCAGGGTCGCACCGCCGGCCATTCCGGCCCCGCAGTGGCGCTGCGCGAGCCTCGGGCGATCGGCGGCGGCGGAACGTGCTGGAAGCCGGGTCGGGCGCAGGGACCGCCGTGGGCCGGGCAGAGCTCGGAGGACGGCGCCCGGGGACAATTACCTTCTTTGAGGAATTGCGCGTGGATCACCAGGACGAGGAAGCAGCAGAGCGCGGCCCCTGCCAGTGCCCAGAGCGCCTTCAGGAGCTGCATCGCGGAGTGGCCGCTCGGCCGACGCCCCCGAAGTCGCGCAGCGAAGGTCCAGGCGCCGCATCAGCGCCCCGCCGGGTGCAGCCGCCGCGGCCGCCCGCTCGCGCCCTCCATCCGCCGCCAACGCCGCGCTCCGCCGCGACTGGAGGCGCCACTCCGGGAGGCGATGTGTGTCTTTTTGGGCAGGGGGGAGGGGAGCAGGCGGGGGACGGGGCGCCGGGGAGGGGGCGGGCGGGCGGGGGCGGGGAGGTTAGCAGAAAGTCTCGGGCCGCGGCGGCCGCCGCTCCGGCCACTCGGCCACCATCGCGGGCTGCGGGGCGCCGGGGGCCCGGGCGCGGGGGGGCGGCCGCCGCGGCCCCATGAATCAGCCCCGCCGCCGCCCCCGGAGCCGCACCGCCAGCAGGGCCCGGACGGCGGGCCGCGGATTGCGCAACGGCCGGGCGGCGCGGGGGGGTCTGGCGCTTCCCCAGCCCCCTCCTCCGCCTGTCGCCCCCCCCGCCCGCTGCTCGGCGTCGCCTTCCTCCTCCTCCTCCTCCTCCTCTTCCT